ACACTTGGACAAGACAAAAATTTTGTGAGGTAGATATATATGCCAGTTCGGAAATAAATGATCCTTTACCACACGTAAATATTGAATTCTTAGTAATCAATATAAATTCGTGATAAAAGCGACGTAAATAATTCTGAAAACTTTCAGTTAATCCATCATAGTTATTTGATTGTGTCTATTAACTGGTCAATTGACTATTGTGCGGACTTTAAAGAAGCTTAGTAACATAAAAATAAAGCGCGTAAATATTAGTACTTCATTAGAGGAATGAATCTTGTCAAGATTTCACATCTGCGCCCACACTTGACTGCTTTTCCATCGTACTGCACTTAAGTGTAATGACTCGGTTTTGTGGTGAAACTGTGATTTATTTCAGTGGTCCGTATTATCAGTATGAAACGAATTAGTTGTGGCATGTGTCAGTTTGTGTGCGGTCGGTTTATCGTAGTCTTGAGTTAGAATAGGTTGTTTTTGTATGTGCTTTATGGTAAACATAAATTGCTATCTGTTAAAAAGCATGATAGAGTTGTTTCAGTATATTCGCGTGTTTCTAATACGGAAGAGCGAAATGAGCGAAGCTCTTCAACGGCCTCAATACTCCATCCGCTTGGAGTGAATTAAACTGAATGAAACGTCTGCACTCAGCTGTGGGCATCTGTTTCACTCGTGCTGTATTGTTAGCTGGATTAAGTGAGCAGTTAATTCCCACTTTTTCACTTTATCCATTCATTCCTTTACCTGTGATCTCGCTTGCAAGTGCGCTAAATTTATTTACTCTTACTTTTCTTTTTAGTTTTGCAAGTCAGTTGCTTTCTGTAGGCATTTATTTCATTCTCTTTACATTTATTCATGTCTCTTCGGAAGTAACTAGAGAAACCGTCCCTTTTTATAAAATAAAAGTAGTAGTGTATCACAGCATGAAAATAAAATTGTAGTAATGTGTATGCAGTGCATCAAACTTCATTTTAGAGTCTAGGGATATCTTATTTTAGTCATCATACTACTGAATTTTCACTCCTACTTTAATGCTAGTAGAAAAAATTTGTATTCATTATGTGATACAAGTTCTGTAATATGGAACGCAAATTAAATTTTATTTTAAAATTTCCTCTTATTTTCATTTTGTAATGTTTTATTAGAAATATTAACTTAGGGTAACTGTCCTGTACGTCGGAAAGAAATTATAAATGAGGATCAAATTATTCGGCAGTTATTCTTTAAGTGAACAATAGCGATTTCAGTGATCAGGATCATCAAGTCTATGCTTTACGGACTAGGGTTTGCTCACATTATGTCGGCATTACAAAACATGATCCTCAAATAGTTAATGCCGGCATGATATTAACTTTAATTATGGTCGCTGTTTGGTAAAACTTATCATCAGTAGATCAAAATATTAACTACACAGTGTCAGGTAATGCTAGAACTTGCCAGTAAGATAAAAGTTTCATAACCACTATCGGTTGAAATCTGAAATAAGTGGGTTTCATTGATAATTTATGATTGAGAAATGCTAAGTTGATCAAATGATGTGGGCATATCAAAACCATCTTTACTAAAGTTACATTGCTCTCTTCTGTTCACTTTTCAAAATATGATAGTTTCCAGTGCTAAGCAGTTGTTATTTAAATAACTTTTAAGCTCAAGGATGTTTTGGAAGAACTCAAAGCGTCCAAGGATACGGATACGACTTTGAAGGCCATTTATGAAAAGCATAGCTCTCATTGTTGCAGAAACGTAAACTACGTAAACGGAGGAAAGCTGGTATTTTGATAAAACAACAAATCAAGCGTTTTGAAATCCGAGCACACATGAAAAGGGAATTGTTGATGAGCAAAAAGGGACTACAAGCTTCGAGATTTGGTTTTTTCGTGGCATTTTCATTATGACTCCAGTTTTGTTTCACTTTTCTCGTCATTGTAATATTTCTGCACGTTTATTGAATGATGTTATCCCAACGCAATATCAGTAAACCAGATAAATCAAAAATTAAAAAATTTCTAATCACACTACATCTTAATATCTACGTCAAATTTGAATGCATTCATATTGATACAATTATATAGATAATACCTACTGATAAATTATATAGATAATACCCTTTTTTTGTGTGTCATATTGTTATTTTGCAAAACTATTTGCCAAATGTAACTCCCATTAATTCACATTTGATCGCCGCAAATTAGCTATCCCGACTAATATCTCTGAAATAGCAATTGATGGAGGGCAAAGACAATAACATTGCAGATATTTGATATCTTTAGCTCTTATATCAATCAGATTGCAGTTTGAATTTGACTCTGTGATTAAGACACAACACTTGCTGTGCATAAGAAAAGGGACAGTCGATGTACTTACTGAAAGGGGTATATGATACATCCTTCTTGTGCCCATAAATCACTCTGTTCGCAGTTAAGGAAGAAAAATGAGTTTGTTTGATTGAGGCGGAAAGCTTTGCTGAGCGAAGCAGTCAACTGTAGATGTAGTCATTTCTGCAAAACTTTCTCTTCCACTCGCAATCGGGCTGAAAATTGAAAAAATTTACAACAGTAATCAGTCTACCACTTTGACAATAATACGGAAGATTGATCTAAGTCTTAAGAGGAGACTTAGACTCAAGAAATATTACTCTGTCAGTGTGGTACTTTCGCAAAGAAATTTTGTGAAGGAACATAATTCTAAGAAGTCTAATGAGATAAGACGGTTTAAATGATCTGTATATGGGAGAGCACTTCAGTACAAAGGTCAAGTGGATGTACATGCAAGAACTGGAGAAAGGCCTTATCCATGTATTTAGGCAGAAAGCATATGAGCAAGCATGAAAGAAACTCATTAGAAAGAAGCCTCATCAATGTGCTGAATGCATGAGATTTTTCAAGCAAATAACTCCTTGAAAAAACAAAAAGATGCGTGCAAGAGGAAACCACATCGACATGTTACATGCTTCAGAATCTCTTGTGATGTGAGAAGACATAGGCGAACACATTAAATAAAACGAACATATAAGTCAAAAGAGAAG